TGGGTCACCTTCCTGGGGGGCACAGGGCTGGTGGGACAATCTTGGCCACCCCAGGGTGGGGGTCCCATCCCCGTGGGGCAGCGCCAGGGCTTGTGCCCAGGCTCGGGGGGCTGCGATGGCTGCTCCTCCGGCACTACAGCCATGGGCTTTGTCCCTGGCACTGTCGTCGTCCCCCTTCCCAGTCATGGCCAGACCCCGTGGCCACCGAGAGCGGTTTTGTGTCGTCGTGTGTGTCCCCCCCGTCATGTACAGCAGCTGGGGGGGGCTTTCCTCTCCATCGGGCTGAGACCTGGCAGCTTGCTGCACTGATGGCTCTTCCCTCCCCAGCAGCAGGGGCTGCGGGGCCTGACCCTGCACCCCAGCTGGTGGGGCGGGGGGGGGGACACAACTGGGGAAGGCAGCTTTCCCCCCCCATCATCCACCCCCAAGCCCTCGAGTTGCTGGAAGGCTGTTAAGAAACCAAATGTCACGTGCAATTTTTAAGGGGTTTTGTGAGTGGAGAGCGGGGACGGATGGGCTGGGGGGGGGTGCAGGATCTGCCCGCCCTGGCTGGGGCAAACACTAACCCATTTTGTAGGAGGCTCCTCGCTGGCTCTTTTTGTAATGACTTTTTAAGAAAAAAAGAAGAGAAAAAAAAAAAAGAAAGAAAGAAAACAAACAAAAGTGAAAACTGAACAAAACCAAACCTGGTCTGGAGGGAGGTTATTTATCTGTGGACTCCCCCCCAGCCCCCCCACGCCATCCCGGGCACCAGCTTGCAGCCGTGGGGGCTTTTACCTTGGATTGTATTGTCCTACGTGTTCGGGGAGGGGGGGGACTGAATGTTTCACCTGTAGTGCTTTATATATTTTTTCTTAGCTGGAAGCTGGTTTGGAGGTTGGGGGGGGGGAAATTGTAGCCCCCCCAGCCCCTGCCCACGGACGCCGGCACGCTCCCCGTCTTGCACGCCACGTTCCCGTTTGGCAAATGTGTTGAAAATGAGCATTAAAGAGAGGATAGCTCCCGGCTGCTCTCTGCCTCCTGTGTTTGGGGGGC